ATATATATATGTATGTATGTATGTATATATGTATATGGGAAACTGTGTACCTTTCATTTAAGTTGACATAAAAATCGATATTTAAAAAAAAAGGATAAAATTGCGCAAAAAAAACATAAAAAACCGTCAAGTAAAAAATTACAGCTTAAAAAAGCTGGCAACAACAACAACAAGCGCAGCAACAAAAGAGCGGAGAAAGACAGAAAATGAAAATAATAATAATAAAAATAAGCAAAAAAAGAAAAAAGAACTCAACGGTCGTTATGCTTTTTCCGCTTTTGCCATGTTCTCTGGCGCTTTTTGTGTTTTTATTTATTTATTTTTATTTTTCTTTCTTTTTTTTTTTTTTGCTGCTGCTGCTGTTGCTGCCGCAGTCGACGTCGCTGCTGCTGCTGCTGTTGCTGTTGTTGCTAACTTTTTTTTTTTTTCATTTTCCGCTCGCAACCTTTTTGCGTCATGGCCCTACCGTAGCGCGCTCCTCTCTCCCTGCCTCACCGTCCCGCTCTCGCCCTCTCTCCTGCTCCCGTTCTCTCCGTGGGCGCTGCTCTCTCCCTTCTACCCCATCCTCCCCATCCGTCGCTTACGTTCATGAAGCCAACGACGTTTCTTGCCTTACAGTTGGAAAAAGGAAAGAAAAAAAAAAAACAAAATACAAAACAAAAAAAAGGATGAAAAAGCTTTTCCAAGCAAGTCGCCAATTGGAATACACTCACCTAATTTAAACTCTCTTCTAGTCTAGATTGGATCGGAATAAAGTAGATCGTAGCTAATATGTTCTATATTACTTAGTGCATTTATTCTAGCTATTCGCTCTCTCTCTCTTCCTCTCTCTATTACTATCTCTCTGGCTCGATCTCTCTATTGCGATATCTCTTCTTCGATGTCTCTCTCCCTCTCTTACTCTATATGTTTCGCTATCTCTGTCTCTTTCTCACTCGTACAACTTTTCTCCTCTCTCTCTATGTGGCTGTCTTTATTCTTCCCTCTCTCTTCCTCTTTCTCGCCCTCTCTCTCTTTCTCTTTCTCTTTCTCTCTATCTCTATCGCTCTCCCACTCTCTCAATATCCTCCTCCACCGTCACAATCTCCCTCTCTTTCTATCTTCCTCCCAATCTCTTGCTATCTTCGTCTCTATCCATCACACTTCCTCGAACTCTTAGCCTCCCTGCATCTCCTATAAAAGACAATAGCCAGTTTATTCCGTCAACTATTTCAGCGTGTATATACCCTACAGGTAGGGAAACATAACGTTCAACATAATTAAAATGGTCACATGGTTAGAGTATAATAACAGAAAACAGGAACACAAAAAAAAAAAAAATACAAAAAAAAAAATTGAAGAAAATACTAAAAAAAATGTTATAAAAAAACGAGACGTAAAAAAGCGAAATCCAAAGAAGACGAAAANTTAACTGCTTCGAAAAGAAATTCTCAATCGAAGGCTGAAGGTTGAACGAGTGGCAGTTATACATACATACATACATACATACAAATTGTATATTGCCAATAATTGTATTAGGAATATGCCGTTTCGAGGACAGTGGACAGTCGAAGTGAATGCCCGCCCAGATTGGGGTCGTGGGAGTTTCACTTTCACCCCCAGCAATGACCCATATCGAATGGTGGAGGCCGGAAATGCTTTGCTGCGTGAGTGCAACACCGTTTTGAGCTGGCTGCCCGTGCGTATGAGTAATTTGAATGAAATTACAAAGTCAGCGCGTTGCAGCGCTTAGCCTCCAAAAAAAAAAAAAAAAAACAGCCAACCAGCGTACAACAAAAATGACAACAACAACAACAACGACGACGACGACGACGACGTTAAAAAATTATACAAATTACAAAAGCATCTGGAAAAAGAAAGAAAATTGCGATGGCAGAGGGAAAAACGGATTTTTACATTCCACTTACATATATATAAATATATGTGCAAACACATACATACATATATATATGTGTGTGTGTGTGTTCGGGTATATAGCATACATATGTATATGAGCTGGCTATTATTTACTTGTCCTGCATTCGGTGCAAATTTGTGCAGGTGTGTCGTCTCAATCAATAGGATTAGTATGATGTAACGAAAGCTATCAATCATGCATATCATGTATATCAATCATGGCATGACTATCTTTAATCAAACGTAGTAGGAAATGATTGACTGATTGCCTACATATGAATAGTGCATCAATTAGTCATCAATCATGATGTACACGCCATGCAGATACACTGAATAGACTGAATTCCTAACTAAGAGTATGTAAATATTATTGTAGTGATATGTGGTACACATGCATTTATATGATATGTGCTATCACCATTCATCAATCACCTACTGTGTAAAGCTCTAGAATTAGCATATAAGGATGATACGCCATATCCTATACACCCTTGGAGCTTCAAAAGTTTTGAAATTGATTCCAGCAATCAATTTATATCATCATCTACTTAGATATATATCTTATCCATAGATCTACTATTTCCTGTGTACCTGTATATCAAATTGACTTAACTCTATTTCTAACAATCATAATGTAACGCTCGAATACACATGTATCTAGTAACTGTTACATGTACAAGTTCTACATTTTATACAATACTGTATGTAGTATGTCTATCGCTGGCCATAAGTATCACTCAATCCTGATTGAAAGCTCATGCAACTGTGTATCAAAACGAACAGCCTACGATTTGCCATGATGTAGATTCATTTCTGACACTAAAAAGCTTTTTGATATCTATTTTCTTTATTAGCCTTTCAAATCGCTTGCTTTAAAAAGCTCTCAATTATGATGCACTAGTAAACTTTAATTAAAACTAGCTTTGGTTCGGTTGAGCTTTTGATTTTTCAAAATCTTTGAAGAGAAACTCCAAGCGGACAAGAAAATGTAAATTCTTAGCATTCTTTTGTATTCTGATGCGATCAAATCGTGATGTGTGAATAAATTTGATTGAAATTCTGCTTACTTTACTTTCTGCGGCTTTAGTTTTATGAAGCTTACGTTTTTCCTTGATAATTAATTCATTTCAATCATAAAGGGAAGCTTTTATGCAAGATTTTTATTTTTTTACATTTGTTTGCTTAAGCGGAGCTTTTGATTTCGTTCGCTCTGCTTTCTTCAGCTCTCGGACGTGGACATTTCAATAATGCAACAAAGTCCAGCCAGGAACTGAAAGGGGGGGGAGGGAAGGCTTGAATCAAAATTAATAGCACTGAAGTATACACTCGCATATACGTAAATACCCATACATATATAAAGAATTCCATATAAATAAATTTATATATTTCAATATATATATATGTATGTAT